ATGATTGTGGTGCCGTTTGTAAAGTTGTTTTTCTAGTTGCATTATTATTATAAGATGCTTTCTCATAGTTAACCTCGATTTGGGAGAGGGCAAATTACTATTGCTATTGATTATAGAGTAGGGATAAACGTAGTTACCTGCTGACGCGCTAGTGTAGCAGGATAAAGATTATCTACATGTAGAATCTGCAATGAGATGAGGTGAGGCGGCCTGCTCTGCAGGATCTGGCATAAGCCACCTCAATGACCTCCTCTTCGACGCACCTGACAATATCTACATGTACATGTATATAACATTGTATATAACATTGGACTTAACCATGTCTAAATATTTGGGCCTATGCTGATCTTTATGCGTACATGTTGTGTGCGAGGCGCGGTGCTGGTCGTACCATTTTGTTGATTAGCTAATTTTCACCTTTGCTATAACGCGTGCGTTGTGTCGCGATCGCGATCCTTGATATTAGCGGGAAAGGAGTTGAAGCCAATATGGTATAGGATTTGGATAAGGTGTGAGTTTATCTGTCCCATGATACTCTTGTGTTATGTTATAGGAGCTGGATTATCAGATGATCCTCCGCAAAGCATTGCTTGATTTCCAACAGTGGAAATCTGGGAAAGCATCAGTCTGACTACTGGCCAAGTGTTAATCGATTTGGAAACCAGTCCTAGGAGGCCCAGCTTCAGAAACAAATTCCTCCTGTAGAATCTGCAATAAGGTGAGGCGGCCTGCTCTGCAGGATCTGGCATTAGCCACCTCAATGAATCGTCCTATAATGAATCGTTGTTAACGTCAATGAATCGTTGTTTACCTTAATGAACAGTCGACTTTAACTGTTTGCCTCAGAAAGCTGTTTATCTTAATTGTTTACCTCACTAAATTGTTTGCCTTAATCATTGGCTGATTACATGTACTGCAATGACAAATATTTTGTACTTTCCAGCTCAAGATGTCGGAGCAACCCCTTTTGTTTCTTTTTGGTCATTCGTTTCCGACCAGGGTTTTAAGAGAGGCTCAGAGAAACCACCAATCAGCAGGAGATTACATAGGATTAAGTAGTGAGTGCGATGTGTACATAGAGGGTCACCCAGGCCTAACTTACGGAAGGTTCTTTTCAAACACTGCACACTATACTCGGCAAATGAAATCCAAAACCATTGATACATTGTGTATTGATATGGGGACAAACGACCTATGTAATGTTGAGGTCACACCTCAAGTTCTGGTTGATAAAACAATTCAGTTTTTAGACACTTTGGGTCTCAATGGTATTTCACCAAGGTGTATCATGATCTTTACGGTCATTCGGAGGTCTCGCATTGTACGAGCAAACCAAGTGCCTCTGTCTACATTCAATCACAGAGTGAAACGCTTTAACGCACTCATTGCCAGGCGCATACAGGAGTACCCTAGGGCACACATGTACCCTCAGAAACGTGTGAACTACCCAAAGTACCTTGTCGATGGGTGTCATTTGACCCCAGATGGCATGACCAAATATTGTAAGGGTATAAAGGATGCATTCTACCGTAGCAAATCACGTTGAGTGAGACATTATTTAGATAGGGAGGCATGTACCAATAAGTTTTTGGTTCTAATCTAGAGTGGATAGAGGAATCTCAAAGTGTTTATTTCATGATTACTGTGAGGATGTACACATTCATGAATCAATCAGTTACCTAAGTTTTGTGTGTGTATTTTAAACATTTGGTGCTGATGCTATGATTATTTAATTTCCGCTCCACTTGCAGGAATAATGCCAGTAAATTATAAAGCTTGTATTTTGACTCCATCATTTATTATCATGTGCGTGTGTAGCGGTATGCTCTCAAACTACAATTGAGATGGTTTTGAACAAGTACCTTGATTATCTTAACATGAAATGTCTAGATATATCACTTTTGAATCTGTGACTTAAAGTTTTGTGACATTCTTGCCATTTGCAATCATTGAAGTTCACTTTGACAGTTAGTTTTACATGTAAATGTTCGAGAAGAACAGAAATTTTCTTTGTATTTCTGGGCAAAGGATAGCCTACTTATTTTGCATTATATATCTGATTGTTAAGATGATAATTTATTTTACATATTGTTGAGGACATAATATGGTTTGTACCATGTATTTTCATACAGGTCATCTATATTGGACTTGGTCATATGCTTGATGTTTGAGCACTGTTTGTAGCCTTAAGAGTAGTTTAAGGCATCTGCTCACTTTGAGTTCGGGTTCGCCCATGCCACTAACTAAGTTGCTCTTTGTTTTACCATTAGTCCATTGTGTATTGTATTACATGAAAGGTTTTGTATATGTTTGTTATTAGAGGATGCTTCAGAGGTTGTAGTATATGTAATATGTAATTTTTCACATTTTGAAGTAACGTTCTCAAGTTAACACCTCAAAAATGTCTTATTCTGATTTATAAGATATTGATATTTGATTTGATAGTTAAGTCACCATCCGGGACGTATGGTGTTCAAGCAGGGAACGTGTAGGGATCTGGGAATTCCCCTTTAAGAAGTTACGTACGCGCCATAAGCATGATGACGTCACTGACTCGTGGTTGCTAAGTGCGTTCGGCAACTACATAGTTACAACCAAAAACGTTCTTATAATTTCTCAAACTTTATTCTTACTATTTTATTGGGCATGTATAAGTTGGCAAAATACATTTATAGTTTTCTCATAATATTAGATCACTCCTGAAATATGATATTTTACTAAAGTAAATCTGGGTTTTTGTGCTTCGGACTTCTTCGGGCTTTTCCGGAAGTAAGTGGCCTACGTGCAGGATTGGCACGTCCTGTTCCTTTTTCTTCGGACCATGCCGTTGCATGATGTGAGCCAAATTCACATCAAAAACCATCTTTTGCGAGCTAAAATCTGAAGGCCCATATCTGAACAGCCCACCAACTGAAGTGAAGTGCTGTATAGCTGCTTTTGGAATCATTTAAGGGAAAGATTTGAAGACGTCGGGGTGAGAATTTAAGGCATTTCTTTCGACACATTTTGTACCGAAATTGTAAACAAACTGAAGGTACATGTACGTGTATTGTACGTATAGTGTGTACGCTGTGACATGCAAACTTTAATACACAGCGTCTGCTTTTCTATTTCATTGTACAGGGTTTTTATATTCCATTGAAATATTGTATCTCAACTGGATCATCAATAAATCAACCAATCAACTAATGACAGAAACCGATGATGATTGTCCACGCTTGGTGATTGCCTCCCATCCTCCTTAACTGGTGGACGAGTCTCCCCCCTCTGAATAAGACAGCAGGGCCGACCACTACATTATGCTAAATTGTTAATTATTTAATTTGTCAATTTGTCTCTTACTTCTACATTAATTTCTAGTTCCTTGCTTCATTGACATTTAGACTGTTTCTTTTGATTCGTCTTTCATGTTCATGATGTTCTAGGTTTCCTCCATGTCTTTTGGTTGTTGTTGATTTATGATTAATGAATAAAAGACATGAATTAATAAAAATCATTGTTACAATTGATTTGACCTCAACAGCACCAAAAAAAAGAAGAAAAATGATAATAATATAACATGTACTGCGTCATGGTCAGCTGGTGAGATCGAAAATTCTGAAAAACGTCAGAACTTTCAAAATCTTTCCTTTTGTGTGTGCGTGAAGCAGTGACCAGCACAGACAAATTCCATTTATTCCCATAACAATTAGTGGACACTTGTATTTAACTTGTCAACAGTTGTTGTTGCTTTATTTTGCCACTATACATGCTTTGCAACTTTCAGCCCAGGATGGTTAATGGGTTGGGATTGTATCCAGTCAGACTGCCAGAGTCGCGCAGAACATAATCATTCCAAAGATTTGATTAACAGCTATTGTTATATCGTGTGCATGGGTACTGTAATGCATTGGTCTATTAGACGACCATGTGTCTAAACAATAAAAATGCATATCACGCACTGAGGGTGACATCGCACTGCGTTCAATACGCGCCTTGCGGCGTATGTGGAAAGTGCCAGAATCGTTGTGTGGAATCTTTGTGCAACGAGAACTGCAACGTCAAACCCTCAGTCTCATGTTTGGCACCAAGGACATCAAAACCTCCAATTATCAAAAGGTACATTGGAGTGATTTAATATATTTTTCACAAAGTAAGTTACAACCATAATATTATATCCTTTTGAAGTATTGGTACGATTCGCCTCGGCGGGTGCTATGCCCCTTGGGTGTCAAAAGCGTCATATCCCACACCACAGCAGTCCACAATTTATACGACATTTGTGAGTAGCATATTATCAAAACTACCAAATTATAATGAAATACCACTTGACTGCGAGTGAATACAGTCTTATTAAGCATCCTGTGAAATCATGGCACAGTGATGTGGTCTCATTTTCAAGAAAATTAAAGGGAATTCTTGAATGAATTTCCAACGATCGTTGGGGATTTTTTTTTCTCTTCAAATACTGCCCCCCATATTACCGAATGTACCGGTAGTCAGTCCACATTTTTGGCAATCAGTTTCACATCCGTGAATTGGAGCAAGCCAGCTAAACTGAGTCTGGTTCTCTGACCTGACAATTCCCGGCCGACTATAAATTGCTCTGCTTAGTCTGAAGTAGGATGAGGGAATCAGAATCAGAATCTTGCTATCGGACAATAAAAAGATATTGATGAATGGGAATACACTATGTTTAAGACCGGTTGGAGTCTGGACGCAGTAAATTACCTTCGCCTTCGGCTCGGGTTATTATCAGCGCCCAGACTCCAACCGGTCTTAGTGTTTAAAACCTCACAAGCACAATGTATTCCCTTAATAGAAATGTTCAAATACAATATTCATTCACGAATTTCTTGAGTCAAAATCTCAGCTTTATGTGATTTATAATTTAGAAATGGGAAGACAAAACCTTTAAAAGTGTAACTAATTTTTTTGCATGCCTGTGCTACTGAGCTGCTAGTGTCCTTTTCCTTGGCACAGGACGATATTTATTCGCTATTATTACTGACTCTATTCACCTTGATAATCCGCAGTGGAGTGTCAGGGTTGTTCCTGTCCAGGTAATATATGTCATTCCTCAAGGAAAGAGACAAGATGTAATCTTCTTGCCACAGGACAGCGACCTGCTGGTCTACATATGCCGTGCCCATATTAAAAGTCCTAGAATGTGAAAAAAAGGAAGTTAGAAGCAGTGTTCTGGGCTCTTTTTTTTACACGATCGACTCGCCTAGCCGTGTTGGTGTCTATCGGTGGTGGACGGCGGGAGAGGGAGAGGACAACTTTTCAAATAGGGGTTATCGTTTCCCGTCACTTTTCTGGGTCCCAAAATGAACTTGTTGCCTACATAATGATTGTACAGCAAAGAATGGCTGATTCAGTGACTCCGAAGCCGAAAATGATGTTCAAAAGATAATCTTTTGCTCAAAAACATTGGTTTAAGTGACCAGAAATTGCCTCAGATCGCGCCACAGAGCGTTTAGAATCCAAACCTCCCCGGGGCCCTTAAGCGGGCCCCGGACGCGATTTACGCCCTAAACGACATTGCAATGGGGTGTACGCTATGAGGATTTCGACTTTACTTCGGTCCCTAAAAACATGAGGGAACAAAATGGAAACTAGATATGTTGATAAATGTCTATGGACAATGCAACTGGCTTTTCTATGAAGCCCGGGAAGGGACAGGGTGGAAATTTTTTTTGGGAGTTTGCTAATTCGTTCGCACGAATTACTAATTCGTTTGCACGAATGAGTAATTTGTTCGCACGAATTACTAATTCGTTCGCACGAATTAGTAATTCGTTCGCACGAATTAGTAATTCGTTCGCACGAATTAGTAATTCGTTCGCACGAATTAGTAATTAGTTCGCACGAATTACTAATTCGTTCGAATGAATTACTAATTCGTTCGAACGAATTAGGCCTAGTAATTCGTTCGAACGAATTACTAATTCGTTCGAACGAATTACTAATTCGTTCCCACGAATTAGTAATTCGTGCGAACGAATTAGGAATTCGTGAAAACGAATTACGAAATTCCAAAAAAAATATTTTCTGCCTTCCGAGATGTTTCCAGTTTATACTTTGTGTGTCCATGCAGAATTGTGTTTCCTAATGTTCAGTTTCATGTATATCTGTGATTTAATGATGAATGGGATGTTGAATTTAATGACTGATTCTGTGATGAAACAGAAATCGCATTTTTGATGACTCATGATGACGTGCCATACTTTTCAAAATTTGGTGCCTATAAAATCTAGGCCATAAGAAACTTATTACAAAAATAATGTTTTGTTCATGATATATGCAGATGAGATTAAAAAAATGGAAAAATCAATGTTAAAGAAATAGAGTTACCGAAATACCCTTGGGGATGGAAAAACCTAGCCACCATTAAACATTCGGTCAAATGACACACACGTGCATTGCGAACACCGTACAAACATTTCAGTTATCACGTTGTGCATGATGCAGCATAACTAGTCACGTTAGATTCAGTTAAAAAAACTTAACATTTGTGTACATTTCTGCTTTTTTTTAAATGGACGATCTATAGTTCAACAAGTTGGAGAAATGTCTGTGACTGGCCAGACTAAAATTCCTGTAATTATGCTGCCAGGTCCCGTCTGTAAAAAGTTTCTTTGTCGATGTCTTATATTTTTTAACATAAACGAGTGATGCGAAAGTTGTCGAAGCATTGCGAGCGCCCTCTTGTGTTTTCCATTGAATATAGCATACCGAGTTGCGTAATTAATTTGCAAACGGCCATACAGTGCGAAAAACCTTTTTTAGACCTTTCTGCGCATGGTTGGCAAACTGCATTTTTACCAACCACGGCCTGCAAAACTATGGAAGGTCCAACACTGCAAAAATGAAGAACAGTTATTACTATCACCAAAATATTATTTGATACTTGAAAATGCAACAATTTCAACACGGCTACAAAATAATTCCCACATATGCCTTTTTACTATTTGTTTATGGCGTTATGAGGACTTTTTTGGAAAAATATGTTGAACCACGGCTTCAATTTATGCGCTTACGGCAGCCCATACAAAATGGTGCCAATGTTTACAAACAATAGAAAGGCCTATTCCTTGGTAGCCTGGGCCACTTGACTGCTCGTCATCGCTGCAGCCAGCCACACCTTATTTCGACCCAGCTTTATTGTATTTTGCTGCGTTTCGTACGTGGTTTTGCCATGGTTATAAATTAGTACGCTTATGTACATACACACATTGTGTACATGTACATGCACATATTTTGCCCAAATATCGTAAGGCATAGGTACACAGGCCGCAACTGCTCCGGTACGGTGTTTCAACTTTGTAATTTTGATGTTAATTTAAATAGCACTCTTGGAAACATTTTTATGCCATAAATATCACAGGTTGAAAGCCAAGTCTATATGAAAATTGTTGTGCATAAAATGACGAAGTTTCGATATCGCATATCCTTGTAATATTGACTGTACACTTGCACATACTTGGATTCTAAATACGTTGAATTATAGGGTCAATGCATTTTATTGATCTTGAATACGGATTGCGTGAAATAAATAAGTTACCGTTCTAGTCTGAAATGAAACAACTGAGATACATGTGGTTGGTAAATACAGAATATTGAATACTCTTTTGATGAACAATGCTATTTTAACAAACACTGTTTAGAAATACTTAAAATATAAAATGCACCGTAAATTTATCAATATAGCATAACTAAGGATGTGTACACATATACTGCGGAGATAAAACGTTTTTGATGGCAATATTTAAATTTTTCTTTATCGAAACATTTGATGAGATTACTTAATATGTACGGTAATTTTAATTTTTTATTACAGCTACTGCCATGGGTCTGGTGGTTTTGATGGTCACAAATAGAGACGCCTTCTTGAGTGCAGTGTTGTAGTCGAGTACTTTTTCCGAGTACCGAGTACTGACGAGTATCTAAGTTGCCGAGTACGAGTACGAGTACGAGTGCTTCCGAGTACAAGAACAGGTCTCCGAGTACGAGTACTTGAACGTCCGAGTACGAGTACGAGTACTCGTACTTCCGAGTACCGAGTACGAGTACGAGTACTTGTTCTTCCGAGTACGAAGGATTTAATGAAATTTCATTTCCTACAACTGTAATTGGTTTTATTTCAAACAAGAATTACGTTTACATGGACAAGAATGATGACGGTCACGTGACTAGCGTCAAACCCCATTATCTTGATAACGCCATGCACAGCGTATCGACTGAGCTATTCGGATTGCTTGGCCGACAGAAGGAATGCGGCGCAATATAAAACGCAGACTATACGCATGTGCATTTTGTGACTAGTCTCTGTTTCAAGAATACGCAGCTGGTGAAATATTTTCCAGTTGCAGCTGCAGTTGCATGTCCAGTTGCAAAATAAAATGGAAAACAATCAAATCGTACGAAAAATCCATGTTTGTCTAACTTGAGCGTGCTAACTCGGGAACGGCGATACGTCAAAGGGAATATACAACATAAGCAAACATCGAAAAATAATACTACCAAGTTTTTATACCTTACTAGGATGTTGGTAAATGACAGTCTTAAGCATCCTGTAAAATTATGGCACCTGGTGTGAAGTCATTTTCAAGAAAATGGTACATTTCCAACAATGGTCGGCTGACCACCGTGGGAAAAACCTAACCATTTTTCAACTACTGCTCCAAATGTACAAGGTTCAGTCCAAATTTTGTTTGCTTTTGGTTACATGTTCATGAACGGGTGCAGGCCAGCTACAACTGGTTCCCTTACCTTACAATTTTCCGGCATCTATAAATTGATCCATTTCATCTTTAGTGGAGTCAGGGAACCAGACTACTTGAACATTTTTGTTTTTCTTGGTTGTTCCAGCATTTTCGAACACAAAACTTCAAACATGTCAGTGTAACAATATTTGATCTATTATACTAACCCCTCAAATAGTTAATTTCTGAAAATTACAGCAAATGCCAATGATGTACATTATATTCTATTCTTTAATGTAATTTTATTATAATTGAATGTAAATAACAACTGAAACTGCTCTCATGAAAGGCATGCACAGCGCTAGTAAGTTGCTATAGAAAAAGAAGAAGAAACTAGAGTTTCGCGTTTGTTGTTACAAACGCAGAGTGGTCGGGTAGACAACTATTTTATGAAACACTGTCCAGTTAACGGGAACATGTAATAGGATTTATATGACTTCAATACATTTAAAACAGCTTTCTTGCCATGTAACTATGAAGTTTCCACCTCCTCTGTAGCAGTAAAAGAGAGAAATTTCAACATTTAAGCTTTTATGCTAATGAAAATTTCCATATTCATGAGCCAAAGCGTGATGTCATTCAAGGCAGAACCGTAGTGTCTCCATAGCTTTGTGTATACAAATATATGTCAAAGTTTTCTTATTTTCTTGGAGTACATTCCAATTTTTATTGTTTATCATGTAAAACAGCTTATTTGGACAATCGTTGTGGCACATATTTCTTCAAACATTTTTTTGTGGGTAACTTTGAAGGACTAATTTTTGTACTGTTCATAACGCACCTTTGGCAAGGAGTACCTTGTGTGACAAAAGCAAAATAGCACCCTCTTATATATTGATGAAAGAATTTACTAATAATTGAAAAACTACCACTTTCTTGTCACTTCCAATGAAAACAAGTATTAAGATCTTGTATGTATTGTTGCAACACATAGTAATGTGCATGAAAACAAGATGAGCTGAATTCCACTGCATTTTTCCTTTAAGTTATGAATATTTTTATGTAAGAACAAAGGATTTCGAAATAAAATCATTTCCAGTAAAATCAGTTATTCTTATCTTCAAGTAAAAAAATACATCTTTAATGGTGTGATCAATTTCAGTAAGCATTTTATGTACACATGTATGCAAGTTATTTCTTGGTTGATGACGTCATTATTCAAAAACGGAAAGAGATGTTCATTGTAAAGTAAAATAACGTATGTATTCATCACACCCACCATCCGGTTTGATGACGACACAGTATTTGGAAGCAAAGGTGAACATTGTAATGGATATTTTTTTGGGGCTAAGATCGACATGGATCAATTGAAAGAATTACATTTAAAATATGATCGTTTTCAAATTCTCATAGAAGTAACTTCTGGTCTGATGACGTCATGAATTTGAAACCATGCCAAGTTATATGTGGTTAATCAAAGAATATCAAGGGGCGATTTGGTAAAATTTGAACGGATGGTTGTCAAATTAAAGAAAGCTCACACTATTTTATGTGCCGCTAGGGGGCGCCCTTTCGAAAGATGACGTCATCACACTGTTTTATTTGTCTGACATTCCTCACTAAACACTTTCCTAATTTGATGTGTGTAGTAAAATGCTTCCGCTTTTGAGTTATGTTCGGTTTTTATTGCACTTCCGGTAACACCGGAAGTGAAGGTCATGCGGTTTTGTGTCCGGGAACACGAAATGTTTCTCACGGCATAGTCTACAACCTCGCGAAAAAACAAACACGATACTCTATTTAGTTTAAAAGATATAACGCAAACTATTTTGTCAAAAGTTGCCCTTAAATCGCTTGTAATTTGATACCTGATGACGTCATGATGACGTAACAAAATTTACAACATCTTCGTTACATGGTACACGTTCACACAAGGTTTTATGATCATACCATAAACCGTTTTGAAGAATTGTTGCTTTGTTTTGATTTCAGGCTAAAGTCTTCGTTTTGAATTGATCTAACTTTGACCTTCCGGTAGACCCGGAAGTAAAGGTCAAGCGAGTTAACGTACACGACAAAAAATGTTCATCTATTAATGGTCTATCTGATTACAAGGTTGGAAAACAATTGATCATTTTGTTCAAGAGTCATAGGTGAAAGAATATCATCATTTTGTCAACGAAAATTGCTTGTAATTTGACACCCGATGACGTCATCATGACGTCAGAGTAATATGCACCACTAGGGATGAGGGCCGATATATGTTGAAAGTTACAAGTTCGTACCATAAACCGTTTAGGAGAAAACCCGCGGAAACGTGCCGTACGGAAAAAAAAATAAAGATTAATCGGAACAATAATAGAGAGTGGTCGGGTTGTGCCCGACCACTCAATAAATAACTTGTTTGTCCTTAAAAGGCTTTATTCCAGGCAGATTTATTTTCATCAAAGGATTTAAATGCAGGTAGATTCCAAATCTGTTTGCTTACGTGATAAGCTGCCGTGTTTCAACATCCCACATTTTGACAGTTCTGTCGCCAGATGCAGTAAGGAGCCGTTTACTGTCAGGACTAAAGTACACCTTCAAAGACCAAAAAAGGAGAAAGAAAAATAAACCAAGTTTTTTTTGAAACCGTGAAAGATAACAAAGATCAGAGTCTAATTGTAAATAGCTATAATATTGTCTAGCAATGTAGGGGGACCAAGTGCGCCCTCAATTTTTGTATGCCTACAAGTTTGCAAGTGATTTGCATGTTTTTATTAAACACTTTGATTTGCAAAATGTGACCTTTGTGCTTTGCAAAGGAAACTTGTCACGAGTTTTCTCCTGTGGGCTTCGAATACAGAAGACCAACACTTATTAGTGACCTCGTGTAATCACAGATCCAACACACAAGGGTTAACGACTCGCCAAACTCCTAGTTAGGCGCGCGATAACGGCCCGTATTGGTGGCAAATATACCATGAATACTTGTCAACAAAGACCCCTGCGCGCGGCGGCTTTCAGATTTGCAGGGCTCTGCGCCCGATCTGGTGTCGAAGTCTGTCAAGCCAGCTAATTATATTTTGAATATTCATGAGTCTACTTTTTGGTCTGTATTATTGGGAAAAAAAAGTCTGGTAAGTGATAACTACATAACCATGTTAACGCCGAGCACAATATCTTTAGCTTTAAAATGAACTATGAAATGTCGCATTTGTTTTGTCGGTTCGGGACCACATCTCTCTAAAACTTTTTTTTTTATGAAAGCCTAATTAACAACGAAATTTGGGTAAACGGTGTTCTCCTCGAAATTTGACGTTTATTTCCCGGGTAAATACTTCATCTATGACGACAAAAACTGCACAATACCATCTGTTATATCCTGAAGTATTTATTTTTTTAACAATTTTGGAACAATTATATCTTACACAACAAGAACTTTTGCCCACAGTTTAATGAATATTTCCGTTTTGGATGTCATGCAAAAACCCGACACAATGGCACACCTGGAACTCTGCAATTAACATGCCAGCGGGTATTAATGCCCGTTATCACGCGTCTAACAAATTAAGGCAAGTCAGCTCAGTGCATTTTGTACAAGCGCCCAGAACAGTCGTTTATCCTTGTGTGCAGGATCCATGGCGTAACATTGAGTTAGACTGCACTATATAACCAATTTAATATCTTCTTTTAATATAACCAATTTAATATAATCTTCTTTGGATATTATTTCTTATTTGTTTTCTTTCTATTCTTGTCTTTTCTTGATTCTAATGTTTCAGTCAGATTGCATATTGACTAAGGTTCATTATTTTGACGCTCTGTGTTGGTTTTAACTTGGTTTTACTTTTGGTCTTAGGTTTTTCTCTTTTTGTTTTAAGGTTCTGGTTTTAAGGTTGTTTTTTTTTTACCTGGGTTTTACTTAGTTTTAACTTTTGCTGGTTTTTGGCCCCGAGTTTGTTTCATTTCAAAATCCTTTTTTTAATAAAATAGTTCGCGACTTGTTCTTAGATCCTCGTCTTGTATTAAATTATTTGTGTCGAGTTGAGTCCCCATATGTCAATTTTCTGGGTTACATAAGCTTAGATGTTTGTGTGCTATATGTAAATTGTGTAGGTAGCTGTTCCATGAAATTTGTCCAAACTGGCCCTCCATAGCTTTCCAAGCTGTTGCTGGTTGGTAATATTGCTAGTACCTTATAGTAATAGTAAATGCACACTTTATCAATGGTGATGGTTTCTTCAAAATATTATCCATCTCATACATGGGCAATTCCATGAGAATGTGGACTTGGCTGAAATGAAAACGGACCACCTCAAAGTTTTGACTCAGTTTAGTATGAGATACATTCAAACGAGTCAAATGCAGGATATTTAACTTTATGCCATGTACAGGATGAGTAAAAAAACAAAACCCAAATGTCGGGACTATTGTTGTATTGAAGTTCTGCATATAGCACTTTCAAAATCTAGGATATGAAAGCCCAATTCATAAGCTTTCTTTTAGTACAAGAATCATTCAAATCACTTATGTACTTTTCAAGTAACAGAATTTGAAGTTACACAACGACCGTTTGAAGGTTCTGTCCACGGATCACAAAAAAGGTGTGCGTTCTTTCAGCAAAACGAAAACAATTCACACACATCCCGATGTGATTTCTTTTCGTTTTGTTGAAAGAACACTGACCTTTTTTTGTGATCCGTGGACAGAACCTTAAAACGGTGATTGTGTTTAAAATTCCGTTACTTGAAAAGTACATTGAGTGCTTTGATTTGAATAATGCTTGTACTAAGAGAAAGCTTATGAATTGGGCTTTTATATCCTAGATTTTGAAAGTGCTATATGAAGAACTTCCCTAAAACGGTCCCAATATTTGGGTTTCGTTTTTTTTACTCACCCTGTAGTTTCGTGACTGATGGAAACTAATTGCCAAAACAAGTTATTTCGTTGGCCTTTTAAGTCGCTTAATTGCAAGGAATCTCCTGTGAGAATAAGCTACCATATTAACCCTCCTATGCAAACATAGATTGACTCTCTGTGCCAAGTAGTCCTTACAGTCAAAATCAATCAAGTGACTGTTTTCAACAGTTAAGAATATCCAGCCTAAATATAAAGCAGAATTGACTGGCTGTGACCGTAAATGTAACTTGATAGAGCTTTAATTGCTTTGGCTGTGGGAAACCGATAAGCTGGCTGTGCCTACAAGTTGGTCTGTACACGGTTGACTGACTTTGACTGGTCACATAGACTGCTCGTTGGAAATCACCATGTTTCTTGATTTCTTCGGAATGAAAGCCAGCCAGACGGAGTATTTTCTAGGGGTGTTTAGTACCAGTGTCACATTTGATCTGTATTTTTCGTATTTTGATATGTAATTTTCTTATTTTACCAGTAAGTTTGTACAAGTTGTTCCTTTAAGTGAATAAAGTTTCTTTAAGAACCAGTCTGTGTGTATTTATTTCCCCAATACCCTGATTGGCTAGAGACGAGAGACCGATGGCAGAAGAGTCAATATTTCGCAGGACCTTTGAGCTTTGCTTTGCCAAAAATATCCAGTGTGTTATTGCCTAAAAAGTGCTGACTATTTAAATAGCCTTGTGTGACAAGCAGATTCTCTGATATATTCGAGTGAAGAAACTCCTAACCGTAAGTTTACACAAATTTTGGTTTTATTATTCGTCACCATTTTTACGTTGATTTTTCTTTTATATGATTGTAATAAATCTCATAATCGTTAATAAAGACAGTGTAAGATTAAGGTACTTTGTGAAAATATGAAGATAAAAAATAATTCTGTTTTTCTTTAGGCTTAAAAATTTAAGGTTTCGATATAGTGAATTGGATTTTGGTATAATATTAATTCTTTAGATGGCACGTAATTCCGGGATTTGAAGTTGAGCCACTTTTACACCATCTATGTTGTGTGCCGAGATCTACCTGTACTTCCCCTACCGGTACCACCTGTTCTGTTGGACGGGAATCGGGGTGTTGCACTACAGCATCGCCAACTTCATCACCTACCTCTATAAACTGTGATGTCCCCGGAACATTTAGGACTGAGAATGTATCAAGTGTCGGGAAAATTTTGTAAATATTAAGATTTCCTGAGGTAAAACTTGCTAAAAACAGCAGAAGGTTCATGGCATATGTAAATTGAAGTTGGAAGATTTTCACAAGATTTTGAAGAGCTCAGTTGGAGGAAAAGTTCAATTCTATAGTGAGGTTCACAATTGAGGTTATTCTTGATTGTCGTTAATTGATATCGAGGTTTTCAGTGGAAGATTGTAAAACGGTTTAGATTGAAAGTTTGATTTGAAAACTCAAAAAAGGTTTACCCGCGTTGAAAACTGATGAAATTTGATGTGAAATTTGGAAGTTGAAAACAGAAATTAAATTTGATATAGATATTGTAGTTGAAGTTGTTGGGTTGATACATTGTAGAATTTGAGATTATTTTTAGTAGACGTTTTGAGACTGTATTTTGGAAGAGATTTTGAAGACGGTTAATTTCTTGGAAGTTTAAGTGAGTTTCGTATAGATATTGAAACTCAAGTGAAATTTGCAATTTAAGGTTATTGATCACATTTCGCGAAAATTTTGGTTTTTGAGAATGGATTGATATTGGAAATTCTCGTAGTTGAATTTGGAAGTGATTTATTTTTGAGATTATTAATCTATTGAAGGGTTGAGCAATACCAAATTTGAAGAAGTTTGCAGATTGGGAATTTATTGGAAATCTGTACGTGAATTTGAATAAGTCGAGTCGTATAAATTATTTGGATTTGTGAATATATATTTTTCTGAAATTTTGGGATTTTGTGTAAATAAATTTGCTTGTATATTGTATATAGAATATTGAGAAGTGTCTAGTTGGTTTTCAAAAGTGACTGTGTGACAACCAGTCCGGTCTTTGGTCCAAGTAAGAGTTTTGAATAATTATTCGGTTGAGGTTTTTTTCACTAGGTATACTTTGGGGATAAATACATATGATCCTATTGCCCCTCCCCAAAACAAGTTTTAAAATGAGTCGCGGGATATGGATATTTATTCTTCTTGTATTACAGTTGCCATTTTTCGAAGACAGCATGTACTGACAACAAAGAATGAAATACTTGATAAAATATGAATACACTCACCGAATATACAGGGCCTCTGTGGGCTGCAAAATCGTCCACATCTGGCAGCTCACCTACCAGTTCACCTTCTTGTCCAGTATGCAACAACGCCTAAGGAAAAAAATCATGAATCTTAAAAAGAAGATAAATGTGTATGACATTAGAACTTTCAATAGAATATCTGTGTTATTTCATGTACAAGTTGTGTAATTGGAAATTCAGCTGATTTACATTATCATTTCCTGAAGACTTAAATTGATCAACGTGGGCGGCGGAACACTTTTCAAACTTGAGGGGGGGGGGGCAACACAAAAAAGGGGCACTTATCCAGAAAAAGGGGCGCCTTCCGCCGGTGTGAAAGTAGCCTTGACCAAGTCTGGCAAGCCAAGCTTTTTCCCTGAACAAACGGTCCGATCCGGTAGCCGTTTTACCCTACTTGTCACGGCACTCGTACGCCGCGCACTTTGCCGGTACGTATACGTTCATGTACGTACTATGTACACACCGTGCAGTATACGCGGCCGCAGTCGAGGCGAAAGACAGCCTTGACGCAACCGTGGCCAAGTCCTTATAGGTTTCGTTACATTCTCGGCCGATCTCGGCCAAAAATATCTGATGCACATATTTTACACGATAGCCAATCAGAGCCCGTGCACTTTGACCCAAACAAAACAAACCACACGCACGTCTACACAGCAAAACGCTTCCAATAGATGGCCAAGGCCAAGGGAGTTCAAGACGTTCTCCAGCATTGATTAGAATAAGACAATCGAAACAGCGCGCCACCTATTGTCAAGACGGGACAACGCGACGGGCGACGGCACGACGCAACGGGCGACGGCACGACGCGACGGGCGACGGCACGACGCGACGGCACGACGCGACGGGCGACGGCACGACGCGACGGACGACGGCACGACGCGACGGTAAGACGCGACGGCACGACGTGAAAGCACGACGCGACGCAGATTTGGCGTCTTTAGAACACCATAGTCTGCGATCTTATGCGCTCTCACTGCGTCCTTGAAAAATAGCCGGGGCGCAACAACAACTACTAGATCGCAGCGACAACTACATGGGTCGCCAGATGGGCGCAAGAGGGTCTTAATGGTCTCCGATGAGCGCAAAGGTCTTTGAACATGCTCAAAACAATCGCAACACCTCTGCGCTCTGGCCAGGGCGCCGTAATGACGCAACTCGGGCGCTGTGCGAGTGTGAATCGTGCGACATTGAAATGGCATTGAGGCAGCTTAGGCGCAAGGCAGTCGACGTAGTCTTCATGAGAAAGTAACTCGACTGCGATGAACTTGTATAATACTTTTTTTTAAACTGGACTTTGTTTTAACCGTTTTTGTCGTGGTATTTATACAGTGCATGTGACGTCACATGAGCGTATTTTGGTCGAACAGAGAGCGCGACGCATGCTACTAGGACGTATCTACAGCGAGCAGAGCGTAGTGTGGGCGCAGTGACAACGCAGCGGCAGCGACTAGATTGAGTAATTGGGCTTGACAGGGGCGCATAGAGAGCGAGTTGAACGCATCGTAAGCGCGGGAAGAGCACAGTATGAGCGTAGCTTGAGCTTCTTTGAGACAGAAAGTTGTCATTTTATTGCGTCCTCGCTGCGATTGTTAAATTTATGAAAAAAAATTGGTCGCCGTAAGGTCTCCTATGAGAGTGCATATAATGTGACAGGCCCTTTACATTTTGCATGCGTGAAGAGGTCACGTCAGTTTAGGTAGGTATGCTCGTACGCACGCGTACATTTAGATATGGGACTAGTTTAGTCGGAAAAGGGGGGTATCGTGCACTCTCGGTAATCAAGTTCTAATCAACGACTCTAGGTCAGAAACAATGTGTAGAAAACAATTTGCTATGTTAAAAATGCAAAAAATGTCCCACGTATTGTTTTTATGCAAGTACCGCCATTACCGAAAAATCTATTTTACACTATATCTCAGCCAATATTGCAGATAACTGAACAAATTAGGTGTCTAAACCCATGTTTTGAAGGTCAGAGATCACAATAAAACTATTCTGGAAGTGACCACATGTGTCTGTGGCATAGGAATATGCAAATTAGTTCCACTAATAACAGAAAATCATGTTTTTAGCCAATATCTCAGCCAATATTGCACATAACTACACAAGTAAGGTGTCTAAACCCATGTTTTGAGGGTCAGGTATCAATAGAAGACCATTCACGAAGTAACTATGTGTGTCTTTGGCATGAAAATATGTAAATTCTAAATTGCCGGTTTATAAGATATGTGATTTTCAGCCAATATTTCATTCAATTTCAGCTAATATTACAGTTAATTTTGAATATGATAGCTTAAAAATCAACTTTTCAACTCTTACTGCTGATCAAAAACCCATCTGTCAACATTAGCTGCAATATTGGCTGAAATATTGGCTAAAAATCTAATTTCTGGACCAAAACAGCGTGTACGCTTGGCAGATTGACCAACTTGCTGCATCACATAAAAATAACATTTTCATGTACGTTTTCAACATGTTGATCTGGATTCGACGCATGAGGGCGCGTTGTCTTACTAATGGAGATCAATGTGGTACACCGTGTACAGTGTATACGTATGAGCAATGCGCACATTTAGATACAGACCGAGCGCAACCCAGACTTGGCCAAATCTAGATAAGTAACAGAGAGTGGACAGGAGGTATACCAGTGATCTGTATTATACTGACTGGAGAGTGCTACGGGCCGTGGGGGTGAAGTCACTGGACGCCATTTTGACGCTCCCTTTGGCTAAGTAAAAGTATATGCAAATACATAAAATAAAATTAAATATTTGAACAAATCGTCACCGACACCACGAAGTAACACCATTCTATATACCAGTAAAAACTAGCAATCGGAGAAAACGGCAACTAAAGTTGAACGCCTTCTAAAACAACACTTTGCGTCTAAACGACAGAGTATTTTCAGTTGGGTTTCTCGTTGTGGACACTTGATGAATAAAATTTATTAAATCTGCTGTTTTTCACTCGTTTGTGTATTAAATGAACAAGAAATAAGAGAAAAAAGATAAGTGTTAGTTCGTGAAACCGAAAAAGCTGCAAAACTGTAAATTTTTGTTTTCACGAAGTAACACTCTTCAATGTATTTAACACGAGGAAAGTGCAACTTCAGGTCAGCGCGCGCACGCTCATACAACTTGTTACAAGAAGAGTGTTACTTCGTGAAAACATTTTTGCTCACTTATGAGCAGAGTGCGCGCAATGCATTGCAATGAAAAATGGAACTTGAGTGTTACTTCGTGAAAACGAAAATTGTCACTTTTGCGCAAAAGTTGCCATGGATACTTAGCGTAATTATTAAAGTAAAGCTCTTGAAGCTTTGAAACCTCGTGCAATGGTAGGCCTTGATGAATAATGTTTAAAAATCCAAAAAACTGAAAATCGAAAAAAATATGCTTTAACACGGTAGAGTGTTACTTCGTGGTGTCGGTGACGAAATATTAACGTGAGTAAAACAAAACGGGGGGGGGGGGGTGGGGCAAAATTAACAATTAAAAACATGTTTGATGATCCAATTTTGCTTCCTTATATATTGTAAATCTACAATAATATTGTAATTCTGTGCTTTTTATATACAGATCCGTACGTTGTGGGGCCTTTTAGGGAGCTTCAAAATGGCCGCCGCGTGTGTGCGAGGGCGACACGGTCTGATCGTGTGTGCACACGCATAGGGCGAAGCGCGATCCAGTCAGTGTAATAGAGATCAGTGGGAATGCCCATACATGCCAGAGGAACAGTAGTCTTGGCTCCAAGACCTTCCTGTTGTTTATTCCCCGATCATGCACGTCAACCTCACCCACGGATCACGAGCACGAATTCTCGCTGTTTAGAGGGCGCAACTAGTCACCAGACGAACTTCTATCATTTTTTTTCCCTAGGCGGGTTGCTGAAATGTCATGCATAATTCGGTTTTCCTTTGAATCATTGCAAAACATTAGGTTCTCGTTCTCTTTTGTCCTTTTAAATAAAATTATCTCAACGATAAATTAAGAGAAGGAAAATAGTCGATGAAAATGAGCCGCGACGCCGTGGATTCGAACAGGGATTTTTGTATCCATAGCTGATCACGCTATCCACTAGGCTACTGTGATGGCTCGACGACGTCCGTACTTTAAAATGCTTTAAAGGTAACTGGTTGACTATTAAATAACAGCAATGCTATAATTGTTCTGTGTATGAATAAACATACTGGCACGATCGAAACTATTGAATTATTCATGACTTTGAAGCATCCCGCCTACGGACACGGGGAATACACCCGCCGCTAGCTTAGGAAGCTGGCGATAGAAGTATTGGATGGATGATATGGATGATAGAGGTCTTGGCCAAAGACGATAGTGGACGGTTTAACCCTTTGTTTATTTTCTCCCTAGGCTTTCCTTGGGAACAATCAGCGCTCGAGAAAAGGTTGAATGGCTCACCTGGCGGTTGTTTAACATACGCGCTATACGTGTGGTGACCAAGCCTGAAGCTATAAAAAGGAGCTGTGTTTGTTCAAATCGTCACCGACACCACGACGTAACACTCTACCGTGTTAAACCATATATTTTTCGATTTTCAATTTTTTAATTTTTAAACATGATTAATCAAGGCCTACCATTGCACGAAGTTTCAAAGCTTCAAGAGCTTTACTTTAATAATTACGTAAGTATCCATGGCAACTTTTGCGCAAAAGTGACAATTTTCGTTTTCACGAAGTTACACTCGAGTTCCATTTACCATTGCAATGCATGGCGCGCACTCTGCTCATAAGTGAGCAAAAACGTTTTCACGAAGTAACACTCTTCTTGTAATAGTGGAGCTGCTAAGCGAAAAATTGTGCACTTTGTGGTAAAAGCATGAAATTCGGCATGTTGGGTCAAAATGGGCTAAAAATCATTTTAAGATCGGGACCCATCCTGGATCTTGCCCATTTTGGGGGCGGAGCTTGATTTTTCAAAAAAGGGGGTGCAAACAATACAAACTCATGAAAACTGTATTTAACATCAAATTTCCTTGGTTTTTACGCTTTGAAATAAACTTAAACATGAAATAAGACGTTCTAGCATTCTAACACCTGTTAATTTTCC